ACCGACTCGAACAACATGTTTGCCATGGTTTCGACCTTGTGACAGCTAGAGTGCCAGGTAGGGGGCAGTGTCGAGTGCGATTCTAGCTCTACGGTGGCTAGAGCCACCCACCTTGTCACTGAAGTGAGCAGCACCACCCCATATGGTGGTGTCCGCTTCCCCAGCGAGTTCTCCATTGCGACCGGCGCCTTCACTAAGGGTGAGGTCCTCAACTTTGGGGGCCTGGCCTACATCATCGACTGCTGTGGTGAGCTTCGTTGCTCCACGGGGCTGCGCCGGTGGGCAACGAGCCCCTGGTGTCGTCCCCTCCATCAAGACTCTTGGGAACAGATCTTGAGGTTATGGCTCCCCAGATCCAACATGGTCTAGGCCTGAACCCCACCATGTCAGACCGCCGCCAGATGTTCTACATGCTGGCCAATATCCACCACCATATCACCACCGGTGAGGTGCTCCCACCACTTGATTGCTTTTGGTACTACCTCCTGGACCTACCTTTTGGGATACAGAATGCGGCAGTGTCCTTCCAGCTGGAGCTAGAGCACCTCATCAGTTGTGAGGCACCACGGAGCATCATCCTCTCTGGCACAGCGGGGACTGATGGTCCCTTGCTCCGCGCCTTCCTTAAGATCCTCTCGAGGAACGAACCAGAGTATGACTCTGATGACATCGACTACAGCGCCCCACCGAGCATGTGCTACCACTTCGACGGTGAGGCTCAGTTTGAGAAAGCGCCTGGGCTCATGCCACCGGACCAGAGTCCCCACAGCCATGTGCCCTACCATCAGGAGAAGGTGGACCACTTGTGCGCTCGGCAGGTGGACTTGGAGGCCACCGAGGTAGAGCTCAAGCATCAAAGGCAAAACTTTGCAAGGTAGGAAATCGTGCACCCTCTCGATGATGACAATGCCCTCACGGGGGCTCCTGATGGTTTCTGCTTCCCCCTTGCAGCATACAACATGTCGGATGCCGCTTGTCGCCTGAATGACATCTCTAACATGCTGACCCAAAGACCAATGAGCGGCTGAATGAGGTGAAGCGGCTCCTCCACGTCGCCCACTAGCAGTAGGCCGAGAGTTTAGCCTCTCGGCACCACGCCACGCTTTCCCAGTCATCCTAGATGATGGCCCACCACCAACGGGGGCACTCTAACGCTCACACCCCGCAGGCTGCAGGGAGCGGCAATGAAACCTCCGGCAATAGCTCTGACCGACCATGGCCTAGGGCACCAAGCCTTGATAGGAGTGAAGGCGTGACCTTTCTCCTTGGTGTTCCCTCACGTGGCATCGGATCGATGACAACTGCGACGTCCATGACACCAGCGAGGTCGGGCGCCATGCTCAGGCACAGTCTCAGACCTGAGCGATGGGGCGGGGGCCCCAACCTAGATCACTTTGGCCCCCTGGCATTCGGGGCGGCCCCCTACCCTAGGCATTTTCGTCCATCAACACACATCTCCAAGTATGACAGCGAGACAAACCTGGACCATTAGCTAGAGGACTACCACCTCGCCATGAAGGCTGGGGGGTCAGACGATGACTTCACCGTCTAATACCTTCCTCTGCTTCTGTCAAGCTCAACCAGAGGTTGACTCCAGCAACTTGAGCTCAGCAGCATCCGCTACTGGGGTGATCTCCATGTGATCTTCATCGTCCACTTCCGGGGCACCTACACCTACCTGGGGAACTCTTGGGATCTTCGTAACTGCAAGTAGAGGGATGATGAGACCCTTCGGGAGTACATTTAGCGTTTCTCCATGAAGCATAATGAGCTTCAAAACATCACTGACGCTGACATGATCAACGCCTTCATCTGTGGCATGACCTGCGAGGCACTCGGCCACGAGACCCTACGCACGACACGGGAGCTCCTAAACGTTACCACCCAGTATGCCACTGGTGAGCAAGCCATCTAGGCCAACTTTAGTGGTGGTGACGGCGTTGATGACCCCACCTCATCCCAATGACACCGCGACTGGTGGAACAAGGACTGGAAGCGCCGTGAGAAGGAGATGGTCACTGTGGCCGACCGCAACGCTAGACCTTAGCCCCACGGGTGCCCTGCACACCTAGAACACTTTGAGAAGACACTCGAGTCCCCCTGCCCGTTCCATGGGGGTAGCCAAAGCATCTTCTGAAGGACTGCACCACCATGAAGGGCTACATTCGTAGCACCCTCGGCCAACAAGACAAGGCCCAGAAGCATGCCCCAAAGGCCGGTGACCCGGTGGACGATGCCTAGGAGGAAGACAATGAGTTACCCAAGGCCGAGCGCTGCCTCATGATCTTTGAGGGCTCCTAGGCGTATAAATCCTGCCAGTAGCGCCGCATCATAGAGCAGGAGGTGAATGTTGTCCACACCCTTGCTGCCCCAACGTGGCTTCAGTGGTCCTAGATGGCCATCACCTTCGACCAAGAGGATCACCTCGATTGCGTCCCTCATCCGGGGTGCTACTCACTCATGGTCAGCACGATCATGGGCACCACATGCCTCACCAAGGTCCTGATGGATGGAGGCAGCGACCTCAACATACTCTACGCGAGCACCCTCAACAAGATGGGCATCCCTCGGAGCAGCCTACACCCCAACAAGGCGCTGTTCTATGGGATCGTGCCGGGAAGGAAGCCGTGCCCCTCGGGCGCATCCGGCTCAGTGTCACCTTTGGCCACCTAGACAACTTCTACAAGGAGCCACTCACCTTTTAGGTCATCGACTTGCCTAGTGTCTACCACTCCCTCCTCGGTCGACCGTGCTTCACCAAGTTCATGGCCATCCCCAACTATACCTACCTCAAGCTCAAGATGTCCAGCCCGAAGGGGGTCGTCATCGTTGAAGGCAACTTCGAGCAAGCCTACTACTGTGAGCAAGACTACGTCGCCCAAGCAGCCACTCTGATCACCCCCTGTGCTCCCGATGGCCCTAGCCATGATGCAGGAAGGGCGCCAACAGAGGAAGCAACCAAGATGGCGATGGTGCTTGACTGACCGAGCATCGGCAAGGTAGTCAACACATCTGGTGATAGCGGATGGCTCGGCTGGCCCCTCCATCCTGGCGATCGGCTCCCCAGAAGGGGCTGACTCGATCGAGGTGAGTTCCAACCTTTGCCCATGAGGGAAGGCCATCGTCGAGCCATCTGCCCAGAAGTGATGCCTCCCGAGCCAAGGCCCACCTGCTGACCTTCCTCGCTAGCCTACCTCTCCAACAACAAAAACTAAGATAAGTCCCGTCCTCTCGACCTTCTTACTTCGCTTATCCATGTTTGCTCTGTTTGCTATGTTCCTTGACCCAAGCGATCCTAGCGATGGCTTGGCCACATCGGAGGATCGACCAGGCTAACCACCTGTTGACCTTTTCTGAAGGAGGACTGCTATAGAAGGCCCCCAAGTGGGTCAAGGATGGGACGGTGGGAGTAGGAGGAGTAGGCGAAAGATCGGCAAGGTTCTAATGGAGCGGCCCCGATCATCGCTTTACCAGCTATGTACTCTTTCCCCTCTCATGTGTCCATTCTGTTTTTTCTATAGTTACCTGCCTATCTCTCGATCCTTCATCGGATCATTCCACCCCACCGCATGCCAGTACGGAGGCCCCCCAGAAGGGGCATCGCCGAGGGTTCAAGGCTGACCCATTGGGCTTCGAGGTCGCCCAAAGCAACCAAAAGCGTGAGGGACATTTGGGAGGCGAGCCCACGCGACTGTATCTCTAGTCCTGACCCTTGGCTACTACCCAGCTAATGACGCCAGCCAAGGACCAAGTGCAAGAAGATAAGCCCCAGGCTAGAGATGCCCGAGGGCTCCCAAGCGTCGCTCCCAAGGCATGCCCCTGCCAACTGCTCCTCCAACAGGGTCACGTCCAGGGCGCGACACAAGAAGACAAAGCTTCCCTCGGCCTTCGGGGGCTCAGGGGATTCTGGGCCCGCTTGCCAGTCCCTGGAGCCGGCCTCCCTTACTACCAGGAATACTCTAGAATGTCTCACCTAGGGGAGGCTGGTCCAAGCTGACACCGCCTGACACGCACAGTGTAAGAACTAGGCAGCAAGACGATGCCCATGCATCTTTGGCTCCAAGACACCTCGACGGTCCATGGCACACCGCTGCAAGACCTTCCTGGACTCCGATGCACGTAGACCATAGACGAGAAATCTCAAATTGCCTTGTACCCGACCTATCTCATTATATAAGGGATAAGGTCGAACCTAGAGGGGGGAGTATCCCGATTCGATCACCATTCCATTCCATCTACCTCCACTCTGCACAGAGGGCAAGGCAACCCAGAGAAAGGCACCAAGAGCCCTTCCTCCACCACATCCCGCCATCTCCTTCCTCTCCGATGAGGGGGAGACTCCACCGGCGGTGAGGCAACCTTAGGATTAGCACCGAGCTAACCCCCTACCAAACTCTTCTTCCTTTACACTCTGTTGTAACCCCCCAGATTTTGGGTGGTTTTGAGTATAAGGATCATCAATTGTTAGATGTAGGGACTGAATTGGACCGAACTAGGATAACCATTGCGTCTTCTCTATGTGATTCTTGTGTTCTTGAGTCCACCCGAGCCACCAAAAACCCCATACTCTAACACCAACTCGAACAACATGCTTGCCGCGGTTTTAACCCTGCGACACTACCCACCTCTGAAAAGCATTTCTTACCAACCCAAAAGAGCCAAAACATAGTAGTGTGGAAGAGTAAGGAAAAGAGAAAAGAGAATAAATGATAAAAAGTAGATAGACAGAATTAACATAGAAAAAATTACAAGTGTTATCCTATACTTGTATGTCTCGCCTTACAAATGCCTTGCATTGTTGTGTCCCACATAATTTAGTAATCCCCAGAAAATGCTTAGTTGGTGTGAAAGAAACACATCACATGTAAAAGATAGAAATTGAAACTAAGAAAAGGTGGTGTGGTACAGTTGCATATTTTCCTAACATAGAACATAGTGCTTCACTACTTCATTACTATGACTAACAGAATAAAGACTATTGTCATGTAACTATCTAACCTTTATGTGATACTAACTCTATCACTGAGGATATCCTTTCTGAAAGATTTTCCTTTCCTTTCTGCAAGCTGAATTTCCCTTTCTTTCTGCATCCAGTCCATGACTGGCCTTTGCAGTTGGATGGGAGCATGGGTACTCCATAAGTCGAGCAAGTGACCGATCATATGTGTCCGGCTCCAAACTTCGTGTGCCTGTCCTTGAAACAACTTTCTTTTTGTAGGTTCCCCAATAGTTCTCCGTGTTCGTAATCTTGTTCTGAATGTTCTCATGCTTAGCCTTTCAACCTGAATGCGTGCATCCCCATGTTTGGACTTCCAAACCATTTGGTACACTGTTGCTTCAGCATTCTGGCAGAAGTAATCAATGGCCTTTGGTAGCATGATCTCTCCTAGTTGTTGCAAGATAATGTCTGTATGCAAGAGAGGTTGATTTCCACCAACTATCTCCCTTGCTTCAGAACTTTTATTCTCTGGTATCATGTCTACATAAGACCCATGGGGTGAAAAGGTAATTCCAGCTTTCAGATATGGAGAATCTTGCAGAGACATTATACCTCCAGATAGAGAGGCCTTACATTTCCTATAAACAGTCTGTGAGACTTGCCACTGCAGATTAAATTCAATTAGTGGTTCTAGCGAAACATCTGATATTCCTGCCATGTCTTGGTTGCTAAAAGGTTGAGCACAATGCCGATCATGCTGCTTGTAACATAATGGGTTTGGGTGAAACCACTGAGTCGCAAGGCTATGAAGATTACCCCAATGTTCTTTTTGGTATGAATAAACAAATGGCACCCATGATAGGTCTTGAGTAGGTAGTTGAGTAAGTTCTTTGGTAATATTTTCAACTGTAGACTTGACATGAGGGGCAAACAACTGCATGCTCTTAACTGCAATTCCATCTATGTCTGTACTCTCTGAAAGCTATACTATCATACTAAAGTAGATATTACCCTCTGGTGCAATGCCTTCTTTTTTTATAAATACCATGATAGCCTCTGCTCCATGCTCTGCAGTTCTGAAGGGCGCCAACCATAGTAGTAATGAAGGATTGTTTCCCTGAATGATTTTATGGTGTAGTTCTTTGCCTGCAAAAAGGTTCTTGATAAGAGAGCCAAAAGGCATGATGTGATAGTATGGTGTGCCACCAAACTCTATGAATCTTAGGAATTCACTAGCTCCATCTGCATACCACTCAAATTGTTTAACAACTGATCTGCTCAACTCCTTGTTGTCGTGGTTAAAGATGGAGAAAACAAATGACTTGGTAGCATGTGCGATCCGTTTGGGAAAGGAGGAATTCATTACCTCCTTTTCCATCTTTTCTTCTTCTAGGATTCTTTGTTTGCCTTTGTGGAGTGTGTCACCACAATCTTGAGCAGCACGCTTCAGCTTCTTACGCCAATGCAACAAGGATGCATCAGTGATGTGCCACTTTTCCGATGTCTCAAGAGCAGCCTCAAGCCTGATGTGTGCCATCTCTAGCATCTCTATATTTCTGATTGCATTTGTTTCCACTTTCTCCTCATATTTTTGAACCAGACCAGATATAATTTGGCTAATTGACTCCTGGATAACCGCAGAACTGACCATCTCCGCCATTGAGATTCAAGCTTCTGTAGCACTCCTTCCCTACTAAGAAAAAAATATATATAGCAGTGTGCATGAATAGATATGTGAACTTGGATACAAAGCAAAGATTATGTATGTGTAGATGGAAGAATCTACCTCGACCAAATTGTATGAAAACTGAGGACAACTTTCCTGGGTACCGAGAGATATTCTGAATGTTATATTTGAAGTGTTGAGTAAAATATGGTCGGAACTTTAGAAGATAATAGAGTGGCCACGGCGTGGGAGAAACAAAAAGAGGCACACAGTTTACAAACATAGAGGGGTTCTTATAGAAATTCCTGATAATTTGGTAGCAAAAAGAGGTAGACAGGTCATTAATATGAAGGGACCATTCCCGCAATGATAGGTAGTACAACATCGACATTTATGGGTCCAATAGCAAGGTGTGTGGAAGAACTGGTCTTCACACGGGTAGAACCCGAGAAGCATTATTTGAATAAATTATGTATTCCAACATAATTGGCGAGCATGAATCAAGTGATCAAAACTTAAAGACGGCCCCTTTGGATGTCATAGTTTCAAAAGACACTGATCGCCAAAAAGTGTAGCTTCAGAAACCAGAGGTGTGAAAACTCCATGGCTTGGAGAAAAGGTCAGACTAGGCATGTTAAATCAAACTGCAGGACAAGGATTAATTGATTATAGTGAGGGGTGTGGAAAAATTGTTCCACAATGGTATAATGCTTACCCAGTCCTCGTTGCTTGATGCTGTGTAATTTGGTTAAACAGATTGTTGTTAGGAAAAAAGACTACACTACATCTGAAGCATCCAACTGCTGTCAAGGTATTGAATGTTGGGCAGTATATGTATCTGTATATGGCAGGCTACGTATAGAGTAATTGTTTCTCCACAAAATATAGGAACTGATATCATGATATTGTTGCTTTAGAAACTGGATGTGTGAAACACTGCGGCTTAAGTAAAAACCCAGCATGGAGTTCTTAAATTTCCAAAAACATGCTAGTTTTGTAATACCATAGTTTCAAAAAATAAAGCTAGGATTTGTTGCATCCAATTGCATCATTGTTTTTCCAAAACCAAATTGTTTTGAAACTGTAGTATTTTTCCAAAACTAAAAAAAATTGTATCCAAACAGGGCCTAAATTGTGTGAGAAATTATTAGGAGCATGGTCCTATAACTGTCTGATTAGAGAGGAAAGTGACATCGAGACCTTCCATCAATGTAGCATTTCATAAGGAACTCAAAAGTCAGAAAAGTCTCCATCCACGTGAATGATTGACACCTTGAAAGTGCCATTTCCATTGCTGGCAATTTGGTTTTGATAAAGCAAGTATACAAATCTCTTTAAGCTTATGGCAAGTGCTAGTCAGACTAGGTCACAGTAGGGATGTTAAAATTAATTCAGACTGTGGGCCAGGGATTAATCGATGACAGTGAGGAGTGTAGAAGGTCCACGCAAAACAATGTTTACCCGGTCCTCATTGCTTGATGTTGTGCGTAATTTTGTCTTAATAGATTGTTGTTACAAAAAAGAAATACACTACATCTGATGCATCAAACTTCAGGTAAAGGATTAAATGTTGTGGTCAAAACACTTTGTTTAGGGAAGCTTCATTTATAATAAAGTTATGCTTGCATTTGTGCAGTTTTTCATCACAGTGTTGCGCAGCACGGTTCAGCTTCTTTTGCCAAGGCAACATGGACGTATCAGTGATCCGCCATTTGTTAGAAGTCTCAAGAGCAGATTCCAACCTGACGTGTGCCATCTCTAGCCTCTCTAATTAAGTTGCTGATTGCATTTGTTTCCTCTTTCTCCTCATAATACTGGATAACCGCAGAACTGACCATCTCTGCTATTGGGATTAAAGCGTCTGTAGCACTCCATCTTAGTAAGAAAAAAATATAGCAGTATGCATAAGAGATTGCATATGTGAACTTGTTTTGCAAAAAAAAAATGTGAACATGGATACGAAGCAAAGATTAACTAAGTGTGGATGCAAGAATTTACCTCAACCAAATTGCATGAAAACTGTGGACAGATTTCCTGGGTACAGAGAGAGATATTGTGGATATTATATTTCCACTGTGCAGTAAAATATGGTGAGAACATCATAAGATGACAGAGTGGCCCAAGACGTGGGAGAAAAAATAGTGACACAATTATCAAACATAGAGGGGTTGTGGTAGAAATACCCGATAATTTGGGAGCAAAAAGAGGTACATCGGTCATTATTGTGAAGGAACCCCCCTCCCCCCCCACCCCCGCGTCGTCTGTACAGGGTGACTCGGGGCGACCTAGCCACCATCGCCGGTTCCTCCCACTGCGCCTGCTCTCCTGCTCTCCCAGGATCTACCTGCTTGGTAGTCCAGCGCACGGCAGGCGATGGATAGACATGCTCGTAGACCAGGCAGCACCCAGCGGCAGGCAGCCTCGCCCCAGTGAGCCAGCCGGCGACAGGTGGCCTCGCCCCAGCAAGCCAACCTATGGTGGACAAGCAGGCTTGGCCCAAGCACTGGACTACAGCAGCAATGGCCAGGATGAGCGGGGGTCGAGCGGATCTAGCCCCCATGGCACCGGACCTTGTGTCCATTTCTAGTGGCTGCACTCCACGGGCCCCTCGACGGTGGCTAGCTCAGTTTCGAGAGGCTGGAGCGGGTGGAGGCCCCCTACTGCCGCATCACGTTCTAGGTGGCATGGAGAGGTCCAGTGCAGCATTTCTGCTGCTCGTCTTCATCTTGGCCACTAGGACAGCACCCCTAGGTCTCCTTCAGGGTTGGCAAGGTCTAGTTTGTGCTGGGCAAGGACTAGGTGGTTTGGGCATGGAGACCAGCTTCCTCATCTACTCCAAGGTCTTCACACCATGCTATGGCTACTGGATTGATTCGTCTGATTTGTCCTCGCGCCGAGGCTATGGCTGCCGGACTTTCTGGCTGGGCGTGGATGGTCGGAGTGGTGGCCGACTCGTAGCCGGCTGGCTACTTCTCATCGACAGCAAGTTCGTCTTGCTGCATTGCGCTCTGTTTGGGCTTCCGCAGGCGTGTGGAACCTAGGTGAAAAACCTACTTGGTCACACTAGGCCAGCGATGATTGGGCGTATGGCATCATATCCCTCCCTAGAGGCATCATTGTAGATTTCATCTCCAGCCATTGTGGAAGCCATTTCGAGGTTGTTGCATCAGCTGGGTAGGTGTCGGTGTTTCACCACCGATAGCCTGCCACGGGGGTACCTGGGGCAGTATTGTTCGGGCTTTGACGTATGCTGAACTCGATGGTAAACGCAAGAGACAGTCGAATTATCCTGGTTCAGGCCCTCGATCGTAGATCGAGTAACGACCCTACGTCCAGTCGACGTTGGCCTTTGCGTTGGATTGATTATGAAGTGTTATGTTGTACAATTGTCGTCCTCTTTCAGGAGCCCTGCCCTCCTTTATATAGTCAGGAGGCCAGAGTCCTAGTCGGTTTACAATGAGATTTCCTAGTAGGATTACTTAATAGTTCTATTACTAAGATTACATGGGAAGAATCCTAGTTGAACTAGATCTTCTCTCTCCCTTGCGGGGTATCCTGTGGGTCCCACATCGACAAGCCCCCGAGCACTTCATAGTTGAGCTCTGAAAGTCTCGCTTTGCTCCTTCAAGTCTTGTTAGGTAGGAACAAAATGTTATCCGAGTGCTTTCTGGAGTGAAACCTTGTAGCGCTTCTTGGGACCTTCGAGTGGTGAGTGTTTTGTGAAGAAAAAGTACATCCATCTGGTTGTAGCCCCCGAGCCTCTTGCTATTTGGAACAAGGAGCTGGAGGATCTTGTCTTGAAGTTGCTCTGATTGTTCGTTGAAGTTTTGTCAAAAAGAACTCGAATATGGCTCGTTTCGGGTTCTTTTTGTCGTAATGTCTTGAAGTGGTCTGCGTTGAGGAAGTCTTTTGGTGACATGCGCTTTTTCGAAGAAAAAGTGCACTCACTGAGTGTAGCCCCCGAGCCTCTTGCTATTTGGAACAAAAAGTTTGGAGGGTCTTGATCCTTTATGTTGTTTGAAAATTTGTGTTCTGAAGTAGTCCCCGAGACTTGAATTATGTCATCATCCGAGTAGTTTTTGTGGCATTTTTCCGAAGCGGCTCTTTAGTCTTGGATTAAACCATCATCCGGGTAGTTTCGCGGCATGCAGCCTCCGAGCCTATGTCCGGGTTCTTTTTGGGTGGGTGCAATTTTTCATAAAAAATTGCACTCACTGAGTGTAGCCCCCGAGCCTCTTGCTTTTGCTTGCAAAAGTTGGAGGGTCCAAATTCTTGTCTTCAAAAAATTCTGGGGCTATGTATCTCGCAGCCTCGTGCTTTCTCTGAGTTCTTCTCTTTAGAAAAGAAGTCGGATGAAGAGTCTTGATGTGTCGTCGTCGTTGTAGTCTTGAGTTTCTTGTACTCTTGGTCTTTTGTCTTTGGTTCCGAGCCCCCGGGAGTAGTTGAAATGAAGGCCGAACTCCCTAGCTTAGTGTTGATTAAGCTATGATGCTGGCCGAGCCCCCGAGCGTATATCCGTGTTGTTTTGTTCAGGAAGAACTCGGATGCGAGGTCTTGGCGTATTCTTTGATAGTCTGCTGCTGTCAGATGTAGTTGTATGGTGGTGGTTGAGTGTAAATGCCTTTTGTTCACGGGTTGTACTGTGCTGGTATATTCTTCCGAATATGCCCGTCTTCGAGTACTGTTTCCTCTTGCCTGAGTCATCCATTATTGAGTCCTGTCTTTTCACTGTGTCCTTTGTTAGGCTTATTTCATTGGTACTCCTAGTCCATGTGCGCCGCTCCTTTGGTCTATAAATACTGTCCCGGAGTGCTTGTTTTCATCTATTGGATATTCTATTGAAACCTTCGTGGTCATGAACATGGTAGTTTGTGAAGTAGAGCAGCCCCCGGGCATATTTTGTAGTTCCTGTGTGTCTTGTCGTAGCTGGAGGAAGTCTTGTGATAGGGATTAGAGATAGGCTAATCCCGCGACAGCATTGTGCCAGGATGTAC